AATCTGACTCAAATAAGAAATCACTGTATCAAGAAGATTAGACCCTAGAAGTGCTAAGTTTATCTAACCAGGTCAATTTGGACCAGGGAAATCACTGACCTGTGATGACTGCATGATTTGAACAGATATGTACTGTGAGACAACCAGCAAAACAGGCAAGGCAAGATATGCCAAGGTGTCTGACCATCCAAGGGGTGGATGGCCATCCTGAGAAATTTAACAGCAACCAAAGTAAATCCAAATTCCACAAATCATAGGTGGGTAGAAATCAGATATCTATTAAAGCAAGCATCACAACCATCAACTTTCAAGTGCATTGAAAATATCCTTAAATAAAAAGACACATTTAAGAGTAGGACACCAGAAACAGGAAACAGAGCAATTTGAGATTTGTAAAAAGCTATAATGAGCAGAAGTGTTCAGTTACAAGAACTTTGAGTTTGAACCAAATAGCTACTTAGTTTCAAGGAAAAACTTGTTAGATAGAATGTTTTGGGCAATATCTAGAGACAAATGGAGTGTTTTAGCTTGAAGTGAAGACACTCACTACAAATGGAAAGAGCCAAGAGATGCCACTTCCATTTTGTCGAGCAGCAACTGTTGTAGGACCGGCCAAGGAGGGTATCCAGAAGAAGCCTTCTGTAAGGAGTCCCTTAATAAAAGAAATGTTAAACAGTTATGCAGAGTTGAAGGAGAATCCCTTAATAAAAGAAATGTTAAACAGTTATGCAGAGTTGAAGGAGATAAGGGGAGAAAAATGGAAGTTTCTAAGATTCAATGAAGACAAATATGAAGCTGGTACCTCATCTGCCACATTTGAAAGAGCTCTATATAACCCAATCCATACTGGGATTGTTGCAAGCGTAGGCAGGCATCCTGGCACAAATAGCAGAATTATAAGATGGAGCAATAAATTAAATTTTAGAAATTACAGTTTCGAAAGAAACTATACCTGCCAAAGGGTTTATGCCAGCTAATTTATACAATCGAGCAGTTTCAAGTTGAATTCTCTCCTACAAGTAAAAGTTTATAACTTGAGCTCATCAACATCAAAGATTCAATCAATAATGAACGGTTACATTTGAAACAATGTGAAAGAAAGATGGTATGAATTGCAATTTGCACCTGATCCCCAGCATAGCGTTCTTGTACAGCTTTCACTTGAGGTTGCAAGGACCGCATAGCCATGGCAGACTCAACCTGTTTCTTGGTCAACGGGAAGGTAGCAGCTTTAACAAGGAGGGTCAAGAGTATGATGGCGAAACCATATGAGTAGGGAACGTGCACAGCAGAGAGCCCATCTTTCAAAAACTTGAGAACGGTTTCAAGGTAATTGGTAATCCCAGAAAGCCAATCACTGCTCTGTTTCGTTGTACTCACGCTCTCCGTCGACGACGAAGCTGACACCGCCGCATCCGCCACCGTGTAAAGCAAGCTCTCGGCTCTGTCATACAGCTCCTTCAAGACAGCTCCGGCGTCTTCCGGTTCGGGAATCAGACCGGGGCCGAAGCCAAGCCGAGCCACGGCTAGCGAGCCGCGGAGGAAGGGCTTGGGTTGCGAGAAGCCGTAGTGGTGGTGAGTTCGAGGGAGGAGAGGGTTCGGGGGCTTCGGAGTTGGGGCAAGGACAAGGCTTGGTCGAAACGAGGATAAAGTAGCCATTTTTGAAGGGGATTGGGATTCGAATTTGAGAAATTAGAAACCCTAGGAGCTGGAGCTGGTGCAGAGAGCTGAGTGTGGGTTTAGCATGTCTTGCTTGTCGACGACTGACTGTTTGGATATGCGATTCATGCGAATGAGGATGAACCGGAAAGGTCGGCTGGGCTTTCCACTTTCCAATTTTACGGGACTCTTTGTGGCAAATTGACCAGAACGGCGAAATATCTCTATAGAACGACTTGTCGTTTGGCTCTCACCTATTGGTTTTGGTTGTGAGCTTTGGGCTTTGGCTCTCCTTCTATGCTTCAAGTTTCAAGTTTCAACTACTGCCCCCTTTGACAGCCATCCATGGTGATTGATGGCAAAAACCCAAACTAGATGTTCAAAGGCTTGGCATAGGCCCATGATATTGAATATTTGTTCTAGCTATAGACTTCATCACACATCAACGTAATGTTATTAATTCACATGTTATAATACGGATGAATAAAATGATTTATATTCCATAGAGCTAAAGTATAATGTTAATAAATAAAAACGCTTTATCATAACGCGAGTGAATTGATAGTACTATCTGTTACATTAAAAAATTTCTCAACTTTTCAAGTGACCTACCATTTCATGCTAATTAAGTTGTTGAATTTGGAAGGAATAGAGGTTAGGGGATCATGTATGTATCTAGACCATTCTAGAGCCTCATGAGTAACAAAGAACTTAACAAATTTGTGGTTTAGCTACCAAAAAAACTCTGTTTACAAGAAGAGATAAGAAAATGTTGTGGGGTATGAATATGAGGTTCTTGTTTCACCAATCAAACTCTGTAGATAAGAAAAGAATCCACATAACACAGTTCTATTGGATCCCATTGCCCTGACTTTGCCCCACATCTATATTTTCCACATTTCCCCACTACAACCAACCATTGAAGCCCATCATCTGATCTCACTGCCTTTACCAATCCCAATCCCTCTGCACACCTGAACATCAAGCAACCAAGCAAGCAATCCAAGCTCTCCACAGAAGCACTAAATCAATGGCAGCAACCATGGCCACAATGGCAATAATCAATGCCAAGTGCATGAGCATCAACACCCCCAAGGTCGTCACCAAGCTAACCACAAAACCTACCTCCCTTCTCTCACTTCAAAACCTCCCAAAAGGCCTAACCTCCTCAAAACCAGTTGAAATTCCCAGCATCAACATGTCACCTTTGGCCAGCACAGCAATTGCTGGAGCCATCTTCTCCACCTTGAGCTCCTCTGACCCTGCCATGGCTGCTCAACAGATTGCCCAAATAGCCGAAGGCGACAACCGTGGCCTTGCTCTTCTGCTACCCCTCATTCCAGCCATAGCTTGGGTTCTCTTCAACATCTTCCAGCCAGCCCTGAACCAGATCAACCGCATGCAGAACAAAGGGGTCATCGTGGGGCTTGGGCTTGGTGGGTTGGCTGCATCCGGATTCATTTCGACACCACTTGCCTCAGCCAGTGAAATTGCCATGCTTGCTGCTGATGCTCCTGCTAATGACAACAGGGGCCAGCTCTTGCTGTTTGTGGTTGCTCCTGCCATTCTTTGGGTCCTCTACAACATTCTACAACCGGCTTTGAACCAAATCAACAAGATGAGGTCTTAGTGAGATGGGAAATGGTCAAGGGTGCGATGGCACAATGTTAATTAATTTAATTACTTGTAATATTGCACCTTTTGTTAATGGGATTAATTAATATTATCTCTTTTTATATTAGCATATATTTTTTCTCTCTCTGTTTATATGCTAGCCCAAGTGTTCAGAGATATATTTTATTATCAGTAGGGTTTGGTGTGTAACTACTGTGTATTATCATATATATAATTCAGAGGTTTTCACAAATTAAATATAATATACTAGCAATATCTATCAACTCTGTATCAATTCAATTCTAATCGTATTTCACAAATCACACTAACTTTCTACTTTTTTTGGGGCTTGATCCGCAAAAACAACTAAATGTTGGAATAAAGTTCATATCCAATAAGAATTTGGTCATCACAGTTGTTTGGGATTTGCTAGGATTCAGGTAAGATTAGAATTCAATTGGGACTAGTAGCTAGTCCCAGTGTCTATATATGGAATCAAATATTACAATCCTTAACGCACCGGGACTAATACCAACAATAGAAGGGGGTTTAATTTTTCTGTGGATTTAGTTTAGAGTTATAGGCATATAATTAAGGTTTATCTTGTGGATTTGTTGATGAATAGAACTCTGTTTTCTCTCTTTTTGGCTTTCTCTCGATGTTTAACACATGACATGGAGGGACGTGACTGATGTTTATCACTTTGATTCGTGCCGCCTGCATGCGCACTCACATACCACGTCTCCCTTTCTCGTTGGTTGCTTCATTTACAATAATCTTTCCTGGTCGTTTTCTAAAGAGAAAGTAAAGTTAAATATAATATAAATTAATCTTCCTTAACACCATGTTACTTGCCTTTTCATATTAATTAATAACATATAGTTTTGTTGCTTGGTCCATTTTACTCATGCAATAAGGACATCTAACTATATTTTGTTCCACAGCCAAATATATAAAATGAAAGGCAAGCCATCGACCCAATAAGGAGGTTTAAATATGTCATATGTAACTCTTTCCATCATCCATCTGTTAAAATACAACTTGAACACATATAAAAACAAATCAACTTCTTTTTTCTTTTTTTTTTTGGTCTAAAACCTCATTGAGGTGGTCCTGGATGGGCCCCAACTATGGGTGGCACTTTTAAGCCTTAACCACAACCCAGATTAATCCTCACTCACACCAGGTCGGCCCATAAGGGGTAAAGTGTTGGCCAAAGTGGTGACTCCGTACGAGAGCAGGGATCGAACCATTGACCTCTCTTAAGGAATGAAAGTGCCGAACCACTCACACCAACCACTTTGATTAACTTCTTTTTTCTTTTTTGACCGAATGTGACGTTACTCTTTTTTATTTTTGATCATAAGCATAACATTACTTTACCCTTTATATATTCACTAGTTTACCTTTACCTAGGAAACAAATACTACAGTAACGATGCTTCTCTGTTAAGGACAAGTCCCGATGATTTGGAAGGTTTATATCTGCAGCTCAATCTTTACCCTTTCTTTTCTCTCTTTCTTTTTTCTTTCTCTCCGCCAATTTTCTTCTTCTCTCTTCCAATCTGTGCAACTCAATCCCTCATGGCAATATCTACAGCATAAGGATGTGGTTGTTGTAGAGCACAGTGATAAGAGGGCAATGTTGGTTTGTGATCGTGAAACAAGAGAGAGGGAGACTGTGCAAATTTTTTATTTATTTTGATTTTCATAAAAGGGTAAATTTGAAAAGAAAAAGCCAACTTGTATGACATATTAATGACATAATTTAAAGTGTAAAAAAATAACACGTGTTATGATTAGAAGAGAAAGAGTCCAAAAGAGAAAATTGGAGAAAACGTTGCTAGGATTCCCCCATATATCTCATCTCCTTCTCCTCAACGAATTGGAAAGTTCATGCAGGGACAACATGAAAACCAGCACTCAACCAAAACTTCTCACTTTCAAATACGTGTTTCTCTCTCTCCTTCTCACTCTCCCCATTCTCCTTCTTGTCCTCCGTCTTCAACCTCAAAACCTCCACTGGACCGCCGCCGCACCTGGTAACATCCGCCCGCCAACCGTACCCAACATAACCACCCGAGGCATCCGAATCCGACCCGGCTACACCTCGTACGAAGCCTACATCCAGCGCCAGGTCAACAAGACCCTCAACCCTAGGCTGCGACAAGTTTGGATCACCCGCGACTGGGACCGGAAGATCCAAGTCTTCTCCCAATTCTTCCAGCACCTAAAGCGCCGGAGCCTCCTCTCCAACGACTCCAAATCCCTCTGCATCGGCGCACGAGTCGGCCAGGAGGTCGAGGCGCTGCGCCGAGTCGGCGTGTCCGACTCAGTCGGCATCGACCTCGTGCCCTACCCGCCGCTGGTCGTGAAAGGTTTGGATCCCCCGCGACTGGGACCGGAAGATCCAAGTCTTCTCCCAATTCTTCCAGCACCTAAAGCGCCGGAGCCTCCTCTCCAACGACTCCAAATCCCTCTGCATCGGCGCACGAGTCGGCCAGGAGGTCGAGGCGCTGCGCCGAGTCGGCGTGTCCGACTCAGTCGGCATCGACCTCGTGCCCTACCCGCCGCTGGTCGTGAAAGGGGACTTCCACAACCAGCCCTTTCGCAACGACACCTTCGACTTCGAGTTCTCCAACGTGTTCGACCACGCGCTGTTGCCGGACAAGTTCGTTGCAGAGATTGAGCGGACGTTGAAGCCACGTGGCATCTGCGTTCTACACGTGGCGGTTGCAAGGCGGACGGATAAGTACTCGGCCAATGACCTGTTTAGTATCAAGCCGTTGGTGGAGATGTTTCGGAGGTCTGAGTTGGTTCAGGTTAGGGAGATTGACGGGTTTGGGGCTAACACGGAGGCGGTTTTTATGAAACGGGAAACGGGATACGGGGAACACATCCAACGGTCTTGATTGACCCAAAATTGCCTCTCTCTCTCTCTCTGCAAATATTTGCAATATATTATTCACTTCAATTTGTTTTTTTTAAAAAAATCTCTCATTTAATTTGGTAGAATTACTATGATGTGTGGCATATAGAGACGTGTATTAGACAAAAAAGATTGATCCGTTTGTCATTTTATGCTCGTTGAATTGATCGAATGAATCAAATTTTGCCATCAAAATCATCAAATTTATTGTCTAAAGGATAGATATGCTTTGATTTTTAATTAATTAATTAATTATAATCAAAAGGGCATTCGAACTTTGGATATGTTGCAGGATACTAGAATGATGATATACATTGATTATTTTTATTTTGGAGTATTTTTTGGAGAACCTTTTTTTTATATAAAGAAGGGCGATAATATACTAAACTCACACACTACAAGAATACCACAACTCGAACCCAAGACCTTTCCTGGGTGGAGTATTTTAAGGCTAATAAAGTTCGTATATATTTAGTGGGTCAATTGGAATATACCATGCCACCAACTATGTGCTCAATCAATGGTGCATTAAAAAAGAAGGTTAATGGGAACATGAAAGATGGAGCCAATTATTGTCTTTTGCTTAAATCGAAATTCTCCTTTGATTTGAAAAAGGATTAGAACAAATTGTAGATTAGAAAGCTGGGATCCAATTGTAATGGCCCCAATGCATGATTTTGTTGGCTAGTAGCATAACATAAAGCTAAAAACTAACGGTGCTACTAATTGCCTAGTAAACCGAGGAACAAACTGTATTTGGCTACTTCTTTACGGGACAAATCGTGATACAAAAGAGCACTTTGGTGCGTGCATCCTTAATTATATAGTCAAATAAGCTGTTACTACTTGCGGGCCGAAAAATAGAACTCTTCGATTCGTAACAAAACTGCTTCACACTTGCACAGCTACAGCAAATGAAAAAGAAAAAAGCTCCAGGACTTGGGAGGGTAAATAGGAAAACATACATAGGAAAACATACAAGACAATTCAAAAAACTAGGAGATAGGCTGACTGTCTGGAACAATTTCATCATCCTCCGGCGGTGATTGTGACGCTGTAAGTTTAGCCTTCTTGAATGTGCTTGAACTTTTAGCCAATTCAGTCCATTTCAGGTCCTTTATGCCTGAAGAGCTGCTATAGAACAATACATGAAAAGACTCAGATGACGAGAACGAAAAACTTCGAAAAAATTCATATATAAAAAAAAAAGCACTTGGAAAGAAACAATAATGCTTCTTAGTTCTTAGCAAAGAATCCCCATTACACTTACAATTTTTTTCTTCTCAAAGAGGCATAATTCGTAACAAACTTACCATGATTTTATCAAGCTACTCCCGCCAGCCTTTCCTGTGGAAAAATGCAATGTGTCAGATAAGGAAGTCATAAACTAAAAACTGCAGCAGGTTCCAATAATCCAAGACAGGAATTCTTTTTAAAGTTACCGCTTCTTGGCGAGCTCATATCTGCATTGCTCTCCCCATCTGAGTAGCTAGATGACGATGAATAATCTGACGGAGTTTGGGTGCTTGCTTGTGAAACGTCAACTTCGTCTTCATCTTCAGAACTTCCACTACTGTCATCCTTGAATATTGTCCTTGGTATAGCTGACAACTTTTTGTTTTGTGAGCTGTTTACAACTTCCCCATGATCAATACCAGAAGCTTTTCCACTGGCCACACGAGTTCGGTTCACACCTGATTGACGCTTGTTACCCATCTTATTTTGGTCAGCTTTATTGTTTGATTTTTCCAAGTTAGGATTTGATACAGAAGAAACTTCTTTCTTTTTTCCTCTACGAGTATTGGTCCCAGAAACAATGGCAACACTGTGCTTTCGAGCCGCTTCAGAAACGGAATTCATCTTACGGGACACATCAGATGATGGAGCCTTAGTCCCAGTTTTAGAAACTTTCTTTGGAACCTTTTTTTCATCCTGAGGCATAACGTCATCACCCTTGGATAGTGATCCTTGTGGTTGTATGGAGCTAGAGTTGCAAACTACAGTCTTTCCACCAATCCCTTGGTTTTCATTAGACTTAAGTGGACTTTGCAGATCAGAGAATGGACCGCTTGAATGTACATCCAGCTTTTTTCGCCTCTTTTTATCCTTTGGCTTATTATCTACTCTATTAGTTCCAGTCACCTCTTCGGCATGCACTTCGCCAGAAGCAACAACTTCATGCTGTCGTTGGCTAGGCACTAGATGCTTGTCAAAGTTGACCGTATTGCCATCACAGGAAACTTCCATGTGGTTATCGCCCTCATTAGAACATCCATTTTCAGGAGGGTTACCAGTTACGTTAGCTTCAAGAGGCCTCCCATCGGAAACATGTTCTAGTGCAAGAGAAGGAACTTTAGACTCAATAGACGTGGAATTTGATCGTGCAGGGATCAAATCAGTTTCAATCCCATAATCCTTATCAGATTCCAGAGCATTCCCATTTGATTGCTTAACGGGAGTTGTTTTTTCCGACTTACTGTTCCTGCTTGTGTTATCTACTACCTCTGTTTTGTTATCAGTTGTCAATGCTGGTTCCAGAAAGCCAACATTTTCCCCTTCTGCTTGAAAATTTAGGAGGTTTTTTGTCGTGGCACTTTGTTTCCTCTTAGATTTATTTTTCATATTCTGATTCATACTTTCTGCATTTTCTTGACGTTTTCCAATTTGCTCCAAGGTCTCGACCTCATTGCCATCAGGTTTATCCGTTTTCCTAACAAAATGAGTACTCTCCGTTTCCTTTTCTGATACGTCTTTCCCATTTTTCTGAGAAAGATTACTTTCCCCTTCCTTAGTTTTATGACTGGCATGGTCACCATGTACAACTTCATGAGATTCATCCAAAGAAATGCCATACTCAGAACCTGAGTTAATCTGAGTTTCTCCAGTGGACCCCTTGGTTTTTCTGGTCTTCCTTTGCTTCTTACTAGGAGTAACAGATCCATTTGTATCCAACAATTGAGATGTCACAATTACATTTGCATTGTTCCCATCTCTTTTATCCTGACTGGGCAACTTATGCTTTTCAGCCATCGCCAATACAGAATCCTTTCTGTGTGATGATTCTCTCTCCTCTCCAACTCTTTCAGGCCAATCAGTTCCACCTTCACTGGGAACTTTGACAAGAAGGGGAGGATGACCGTCCAATTTTTCCTTGGCCGTACCACTTTTGCTTTCCACATTGCCAGCATCAGTAATATTATTAACATCTACAAAAGAAACAGTATTAATCTCAGAGAAAAGGCCTTTTTTCCCCCTTCTAAACTAGTTAAGTTCTTGAAAAACTCAATTAGAATGGGAAAATAAACTACACCAGATCACATATCAGTATATAACAAACACAACTTACCTAGTGATGAGGGTACTTCATCATTTTCCCGCAACTCTTGCTCATTGACAGATGCTACATCATCTTCTCCACCAGAATTTTTATCATTAATTCCTGCAGCAGCAACTTTAGATTTCTCTTCCATAACATCTCTTTCGGAAGGAGCAGCAGGAACTACTTGATTGAGAGAACTCGATGATTTCTTTCTCCTTTTCTTGCTCCTGCTGGAACTGTTGGTCAACAAATCAGAAGATTCAGCAGTTACACCATCTAAGATTGCATTTGCATTTTTCTGTTTGTCCCCTAAAGAGAACTCAGATGCAATCTCTGGCTTGGAAGTCTCATTATTAGAATCACAAATCAAGACATTGTTTTCTTTCAGTGAATCCTCAAGACCAGATATGCTTTCAAACTTGCGCTTTTTCTTTGCCGCAGGCTGAGATTGTGAAGCCTCTTCCACTGATGTATTCTTTCTACTCTTGATGTGTTTTCCTGGACCTTCAGTTTCCTTGGATGTATCATTAGTCCCATGAATTCTGGAATCTGACCTGTTATCCATAGTAGAAGCCGAACTCCTGCAAGGTTCTTCCGTGGCATTTTTGTTTTCAATCATCATATCGCATGAAACATCTCTACTCTGATTGCCTGGTGAAATTTCATGAGGTATACTATCTGCATGTGACTGTTCTTTACCAAATCCATGAACTGAAGCGTAGTTTTCTTTTAAATGCACTGTTTCTTTTTTTCTCTGTTTCGTCTTATGTTGTCCTTTCTTTTCAGAAGGTGAAGCTTTTTCCAAAGAGACATTGCGTTGGACATCACTTTCTTTCCTTGAGCTATCTTCCTTGCATTCTTGTGTTGTGGGAAATCTGTATCCCTCACTACATAGTCTGTGGTCCTCCTGTATTTCACGTTCTGGCCTATTAATTGTCTCACGAACTGAAGTTGTGCAATGATCATTATCAGAATGTTTGACCCCTATCTTCAAATTTTGTGAAGTTTCTCTAGCAAAATCAACTGAACCATTCTGGTCAGCAGTAGTAACTTTCTCTTTAGCACGTTCGTTGCCCTCAAGTAGAAATGGGATCGAATCCTCGAAATTGGACAACCTTTTTCTAGGAACATCAGAAGCATCAGCATACAGAAACCAGTTCTTGTTGACCCCACTGAACGCATTTTTAACAAGCATGGAATCTGATAGGTGATAAAAGCATCCTTTCCGCTTTACCTACCAGGCAAACATACAAGTCGTCCTTATACTAAGGCTACATTTCAGACAAAGTAATACACAGTTTATTAAGAAGGCACATATATTATACCTTTAGAGCTTCAACTGTGAAATTCCCCATACTAGTAAAACACGATTGATGTTCATATTCTATTCTCCCTGCACGTCAAATGGCATTTACACAATCACTTATAGTAGGAAAAATGACAAACTTCAAGTCCTGATGCTAATAAAATGGAAGATGATGACTGTTTAAGTGAGTGAATCACATTTTCTTTACCATAAACCACCAACCTAACTCCTTAGATGATACACAAAATCATGACAACCAAATAACACATTGGTTGGCAACTAAAATAATCGCTTATAGATTTCTAAGAATACTTAAAAAGATGAAAACAATGCATTCAATTGGGTATTTTGTGCTAACCAGAATAGTATGAGCTTGCCCAGATTACTTAGGTGACCGTATGATCACGTGACAGTATTACATTACCATACAATAATTTCTCCACAAACATTAACACCCAATTTTCCAATTACAAGTATTTCAAAAGAAATCTTCTCTTTACACAAAGCAACAAAAGCGAATAAAACTTTTAGCTTTGTAGAATGGGAGCTAAACACCATCAGACTATGAGTGAGAATACAAAGAGAAGGAGTGGGATAACATTACTTTTGAGTGCCGAAACGGTGTCGTGGTGGGAGACGGTGACGGCGAGGTGGGTGCCGAGGCTGGTGTCTATGAACACTGTGGCCTCGGAAGCGGAGACCAAACTCGAGTGCTTCCCCATTGGCCTTCACCGAACAAAACCCAGATACCAGAGAGAGTCTGAGAGACTAAGAGAGAGAGAAAGAGACTCCTGGTGTTCTCGGTTGGTTGCGGTCTGTTTGTCTGTAGGTATTTCAATGGCGGCATGCCATGGGGTGTGCCGCTACAACGAACCAGGTTTTACAAGTTTATATCGACGAAGAAGAGGGTGCCCAAAGCGCGCACGGCGTATGTAAGGCGCGCACGTGCTTACGGCCCTGTGCGGTGAAATTCCGGTTTTCAGATTTTATTTTGGGCACAGCCCAAGTTTAATACAAGTCCTCATTTCGTCCTCAACTATTTTGGGCCCTTTGTTTTTTGTTCTGAAAGTAAGCCAATAACCCTAACCTATGGTAAATTTGTAATCAAAACAATTTTTTCAAAACACTATTTTGTTTTTTTTTAATTTTTTCACATTGCACCTTATGTAAGAGCATTTACCCATGTAACGAGATCACCTTATGTAAGAGCATTTACCCATGTAACGAGGTCCTAGGTTTGATTCTACCCTCTCCCAATACCACTTGTTCGAGAAAAAAAAAATGTTCATCTATTTGACCATTGGTAAAATGTAAGAGCATCTCCAACCGATATGTCAAAAGTGCCTCATAGACATTTAACAGTTAGAAATAACATCTCACACACTCCAACCGATGTGTCAAAGCTGATGTGGAATGAAGGCTGAAGATTGAGATGTTATTTTTGACATCCCAAAAGCAAGATGTCAAATGAATATTTTATTATTTTTTTCTTTTCTATTCTTTTTAATTAAAAATAAATCAACACTAAAATGTAATAAAATAATAATTTAATTTGACATATCGGGTGAAGTGTAAAGCTGTGTAAGATGTCAAATTGCCACATCAGCCATCAAATTTAAATTTGATGTTTGGTATTTGACATCTCCCTTGGAGATGCTCTAAATAGCCCTTTTTTTCATTCAAAGAAGGAAAAGATAAATCATAGTTAAATTATGTTAACCATCTTTTGTTCTCCTCAGTCGTTTTGAATTAATGGATCTTTAGAAACGTAACCCCATTTCAAGTTACAAGTTTACAACAACAAAGAGCCATAAAGTACAAACTATGTGGCTATTTCAACGACTGCAGCTCAAGGAATCAACAAGAATAAATAGGGCGAACAGACAAACATCTATCTATTTGCTTTTTTTTTGGGTAAGGAACTTTTTTTTTTAAAAAAAAAACGCCGTTGATCATTAATTAACAAAGACCATGGAATTTTAAAACATTAAACATAAACTGAAGTCTTAGCATACGATCAGCTTTCAGAAGTCCTCCTAATCCGTTGCACCAAACAGCATTCCCTACCAAGCGGCCCAAACAGAAAAACATAAGAATGTTCTGTCATCTATTCTTGCTTCCGGGAATCTTTGAGTTGTCCCCTCTTTTGAATAGCCAGGCAAAATCGCAGGCGCCATGCGTCAACAACAGACTCTGGCAATGAGGATGCCACGGCCCAAAGAAGCGTATGGGGCCAGTAAGGAGTGCAACGAGGTTCATACCCTATCCAGCGCAGAGCTGCCCGGGCATAACCGTCAGTTGATGGTACAAAGAAGGAAGATCTCCTAATAGATGCCATCTTTGTTGCCACATACAATGGAACCTGCAAAGACAAACTCCTCAGTTGATGATAAAAGAACTCAAAGCAAAGTCAATACCAACAATCATCCCAGGTGACAAGCATCCAACGCTCAACAGATTAGTGGCCAAAATTTGGCGATGCGCATATAGAGTCAGGGCATAAGGGTATTTAATATCATCTAAACGGAATACTCTTAAACATCACACAATCTAGGAAATGTTTAACCACCATTTTCTAACCCCACATATCACTAAACCACAAAGCTCATGTAGATGATCAGAAACCCAGGCAGGCAGGAAGTACAACGCACAGGACTCATCTCAACTATGGACCATGTCAACATTACTAACATACTCTTTGAATGTCATTCACATTCAAAAGTCTTCAATTTGCAATGCATCTATCCTAAATTGTGTTGGCATCAGTTTTCCATTACCAATAACAACTCCATGACAGGTTTTACACTACCTATGATGCAATCAGATAATATATGAAGTTCGATGCGATACATCAATGGCCTCTGAAAAGGAAAGCAGATACCAAAAAGAATTCTGAAACTACTTAACCATCGACATATAACTACCATGTGGGAAGGCAAATTTTTTGATATCCTCAAAGTAAATTTGTGAACTCGATGAAGGCATAAAGAAGAAAACCAAGGAAAGAGAGTTTCTACCTAATACTTGGCAAGGAAAGACCAACTGAGGTTGGGAAATGATTGAGTTTTTCATTGCATAATGGTATTCCACTTTGGACAACAACTGGGCAAACTTTTTATACTGGGCAACTCCATTGCAACACATGACACAACACTTCTATAGGTTTTTTTTTTCAATTGTTTAAGAGTTTGCTCAATTGAGCTTCAATTGTTGACAGTTTACGTAATATTAAGCTCGTGTAAACATGTTTTATTTGCCCAATAAATAGTGCATCAATTACCCAAGACCCTACCAAGTGAGCTAGCTACCATCTTTAATTATAAAATTTTTATAATATCCTTTAATAAGAGAAGTAAAAATAATACCTGACACTGAACGTCAATCCCACTTTTCTTGTATTCAACGTAGAGGCACCTAGAGAACTGATCAATATACCTGAAAACAGTCACAACATACAGCCTTTTCAGCAGCTAAACCAATCACCTTGTACTTCCAGCACTTCAAAATGAACAATGAACAAAAATAGATCCAATATACATAGATATATAACACAGTGAATAAATAGTGCAAATACTTACGCTTTTGTAGCTGCGTAAACAGCATAGAGAGGATCTGAGGGGATCACAATCGCAGCACCAGACCCAATATTGACGATAGCGCCTCTCTTCCTCTGAAGCATCCCTGGCAAAACAGCTTGAGTAACTTTTGTAGTGCCTTCAACATTGACCTTTATCAAGTTCTTCAACAGTTCCTCATCCACTTCATGAAAGAACCTAGCGTACGGGTACGATATCCCAACGTTGTTAACCAAAAGACCCACATCCAATCCTTCAATGGTCTCACGAATGCGCTTAACACCATCGTCAAGGTCACCAGTGAAATCAACCACGACGGTCTTGATCTGGGTTTTGCCGTATTTGGCCAGGATTGAATCTGAGACGTCCTTGAGCTTTTCTGGGTTGCGACCCACCAAGACCAGATTGAGCCCTTTACGAGCCAATTGAAAGGCGAAGGCTTTGCCAATGCCGTCAGTGGGTCCAGTGACGAGTGCCCAAGATCCATACTTTTTGAGATTCTTAGCAGGTCTGAGGAAATTGACATAGACCCATTGGAGGAAAGCTAAAGAGAATCTGAGAGCAGAGAGAGAACCCAGAGTGAAAAGCACAACGAGCCAGAAAGGCTGAGTCTTGAGGTGCTCCAGTAGACAAAAACCCATGTTCGTTTAGAAAGGTTTTGCTTGGAATCTGAAACGAAAATGGTGAACCCAAAGGTTGGGTTTGGCTCAGAAATAGAAGAAGAGGGGAGGGAGTGGCGTGAAGTAAAGGATGGAATTTAATTTATAGAAGCGTCTGAAATTGATAGAAGGAAGAGTTGGATGAAGTAGATGAGCGGAAAACCACCACATTTAACTAACTCTGTTCCCGGGGCGAGAAAAGGACAACTACATAATACATTTAATTATTTTTTGTTCGTATTTTAGGAGAAGAAAAAGATGAAGGAAATTTCCCCAAGTTTGATTTACTCTTCCATTAGTAAGGCATTCTCCAACCCATTTTGTCATAAACCTAAATTTTCTCATTCTAAAAAGTAATTATTTGGATTTTGCCCGTACTCAAACTGTTTTTTCTCCTAACCTTTAAGACTCAAAATTTTAAGTCTACAACTTTATTAAATTATTTAAAAATAGTTTAAATTTAATTTTTTTTCATGGATAACTTTTCTTCATTTAATCTTTTTAAATAACTTCATAATTTAATTTTTTGAATAATTTGACTTAAAAAAAATTGAAATTCCATAAATATAATTTTATTTGAGAAATATGTGGGTATTTATAGAGTTTGGAGTTAGTTTTAGGGTTGGATATGATTTAGATTAATTTAAAATATTATTTTAACTGTTGGATTTCAATTTCAGCCGTTGGATTTTTTTTACCGTTAAAATAACTTGAATTTAATATGGATCGTTGATTTGGGTTATTGTTGGAACAAAAAAAAAAGGTAAAAAAAGAAGTGTTGCAACACCAGTAACGCGACACATGGCACCCCATTGATTCCTCCTTACACATGGGCTGTGTCAGCCTTGAGTGGGCTCCACTAAAATTTTTTCTTGCATGCACTGGTATTTGGCCCCAAGTTTGGGTTTCTCAAATTTTAGCTCCTTAATTTTCTTGGGTTGTGAGAGAAATTAGGCTAAAATTTGTGATATTTTGGATTTGGCCTCATGGGTTGGAGATGACCTAATAAAAATGAAAATGACTTAGCAAAGGACCTATTGGTGTAGTAGTTTGGAGCAATTGCTCCCCCTTGAAAGATCATGAGTTTGAGTCTTAGCATCCGTATATTGTGTGTGAATTTAGTATACTATCGCCCCTTTCAATAGGAAAAGTCCTAAAAGAGAATAAATGAAAACGGTTAGTTGAAGACAAATTTGACCCAAGAATAAAAGTTAACAACAAAATGGTGGGGTGACTCCAAACCAACCTTGTTATAGGTGTTATAAATCCTCATTATTTTGGTTTATAAAATCTTCATCAATGTCGTTATATTTAAAGATAATAATTTTAGAGGCAGCTTGGAGGGACCCTTATTTATGAAATTTTGATTATGCAGCACCACGCACCTACCAATGGAGATTTCTTTAAATGTTGCTGGTGGAAGACGGCTCTAGAGGGTAAACTAAACGAAACTTAGGCCTTTATTATATATGTACGAAAATGTAATACAATTTGGCCAACAGTTCGAATTACTTGCTGAATCTATAGATTTTTGCTTAAGTTTCCACGCTTTTCATTCATTACATTGGTATTAATAAAATTATTTTATAATCCCTCCGGATCGTTCCAGCTTTATGGTTGATTTTACGCCTTATTGTTACTGGAATGGCTCCCTTTATACCCCTTTGTACTCTTTATTTCCATTTTATCTAATAAATTTCTGTTGCCTTTTTATAGAAAAATAAACTTATTTTAATGTGCCGTCAATCTATACCCTGGTTGAGAAGTAAGGCCAAATTAAAGTTTGTTGACGGACAACACAACCAGACCAACTGCATAGTTTGGCTACTCTCTGCAAACAGAGACTAAGCTTAGATTGGCTCATCATCATTCTATATTTCCAGTACCAATAGGAATGAGACACAACACAACACAACACAACACACAACCAAAAACCATCAAATTAGTTGTAAATTTATTCATCCAGAAAAAGTAATCTCTTGTTGAGCATGATTTCAATGCTGCATCAAAATGCAACTCATAAATTTTTCTGTTGCTGGCTACATGATGCAGGAGCATCAATCCTAGTCAAAAAGGGCTAAGTTTTAGATATTTTAAATTATTAAATTAAATGTTTTCCTCTCTTCATTAGGATTTGGTTTAAGTTTCTTGTTTTGTTTCTATTTTCCTTTATCAATTAGGATTTCTTAGTAAACTAGGACTAGGAATTATAGGCTGGTGTATTCTAGTATAAATAGGCTATTAAGAGACTTTTTGTATTCAGTTTTTCAATCAATATAATTTCAGACTTCAGTCTAAAGAGTTTTCTTTGGGAATTTAGCCCTAGAACTCAAACTTCTTCGTTCCACTTCAATTCTACAGCTTTATCCTTCTATTCTCTGTATCTTGGGTACGTTGGGGTCGCTGGACAGCAGCTTATAGCCGCTGCCCTGCATCACTACATTTGTTTACTTTTGTTCTGTGCCTCCTGCAATTGGCCTCTCCTTCGCATCCCAATGAAGTACCTAAGGACGATGGCATTCAGTAACACATCAGGCAAAACATGTATTATGAGCCACTGCACAGAGTGACCCCAATAGGGTGTGCAGAGATGCTCATAGCCAATCCATCTCATGCTTGCTTTGCTGTACATCTCTGGTGATGCAATGAAGAAGGAAGATGGCTTTAACTTTGTCATCTTTGTTGCCACCAACATAGGAATCTGCATCAAGTATAGGCAGGAGGGTAAGACTAATATTTATGCAGGAGCAGATGAACAACCTTCTTCATACAGAGATGGCATTTTTTCCCCAAATGATGGACTTAAGTTTCCCAAGAAATTTCCAAATTGGAGGACAAAATATATGTACATTTGGATATAAACAAATGAAAACACCCAATTTATTCATGTCAAAAGGATCCAGGGGGAAGAATGAGAACCTGACACTGAACGTCAATTCCATGCTTCTTGTATTCCAAACTAATGGATTGTGAGAACATTGAAATGTACCTGCCAATGCCATAACTCAATATATGAAGTAAGTTACAACTTACGATATGCAGGGAACTTCATAATTAGTTAGGACCCCATTTGAAGGAGCTAAGATGAATTGGGTTTCCCAAGAGGGCCAAGACAGGTCACATGGTAACTCATTAACTCCATCTTTTTTCATAATGTTTAATTTCTCCCAAATTGTTCAAGAACAAATTATGATAAGAAGGGCAGCAAAACTTTAATAAGGGCTTCAAATTAATCAAACTGGTGTAATATATAGAATGCATTTGAGAGGTTCGTTCTCCAACCAAAACAAATGAAGCAAAATATGAAACAAAGATCTAAGAAAACTCACGCTTTGGAGGCAGCATAAATAGTGTAAAGAGGGTAAGAAGGGAGGATCTCAGAGGAAGCAGAGCCAATGTTGACAATTGCTCCTTTCTTCTTCTTAAGCATAATTGGAAGCACTGCCTTAGTCACCCAAGTGGCCCCCTCTATGTTCACCTTCATAGTGCTCTCCATCAGCTCCAAATCAACCTCATGAAAAAACCTCGCATAAGGGTAAGCCACCCCGGCATTATTAATCAAAATTCCAACATCAAGGCCTTTTATTCCTTCCTCTATGGCATTTCCTATCTCCTCCCCACTGAACTTGGCCAAGTCAATGACAATGTTCTTAATCTGAATTTGCCCACCATATTTTTCATGTAATTCAGTGGAGGTAGCTTCAAGCTTTGAAGGGTTTCGACCAACCAAGACAAGGTTAAGACCCTTTGAAGCAATTTCAAAGGCAAGGGCTTTTCCAATTCCATCAGTGGAGCCCGTGATGAGAGCCCATGAGCCATAGTTCTTGAGATTCTTTGGGGGTCTCAGAAACATGACCCATACCCATCTGAGAAAACTGATGATGGGTTTACAAAGAGAGATGAAGCCTATAGTGCTAGTTGCCACTATGAAAATTTCTTGGAATTCCATTGCCAGAGTTTCAGTGGAGAAATTGGTAGGGCTTGGTTTATCAGTCAGAAGGCGTGAGTGCAACAAGAATTAAAGAGGGCAAGGAGAAGGAGTCTCAGACCCAAGAAAAATAATAATTAAAATAAAAATAAAAATCTAATGGTGTTGTAAAATAAACGAGATACGCTAGAATATTGAGCTGCACGTAAAGTAAATGAGACACAACATTTAACGAGGTTCGGTCATGCCTATGTCCTCGGAGAGCAACAGCAGTAACTTTTCCACTATGTAAAATAATAGGGCTACAACTTTAGTGTTTACAATATATGTGGCTCACTGATTTTTCTCTCTTGGAGAATTTCTTTATGCTCTCTTTTTCCTCCTCTCACTCTCCCTTTTTTTTCCTTCTCTTCTTTCTTCTCTTCCTTTCTCTTCTCTCTGCCTGGGCTCTCTCTTCCTTCTCTGATGGTTGGTGTGTTCGACAATTGCAAAAGAGGGAAGCCTTCTATAGGCAAATGTCTAGCCATTCCCGTGAGTGTGCAGGAAAGCATTATGCACAGCCTTCTATAGGCAAATGTCTAGCCATTCCCGTGAGTGTGTAGGAAAGCATATGCACTCTTCAAACCAACAGTAAGTGGGCTCCACATGTTTATTTTTTACAACAAATGGTGAAAAATGAAAACAAAAAACTTGTTAGCATTTCATTTTCACTTTTTTTGAAAATTGAAAACATGTTTGGTAACAGATTTCGTTTTCAGTTTTCAAAAAAGTGAAATCTAGTTTTTAAAATCACCCTTATTTTTTAAAACAACTTGAAAGTGTTTTCAGTTTTCAGTTTTCGTTTACATTTTTTTTTGCACTCCTATTTTAATCATTAATTTTACATCATGACACATGAAATGCCCTCTGGTTATCAAAATTTGGTATTTGGGACCTCCCGACTTGGACCCAGTCACTCAATTGTTGCGTTTGGCAATTGACCCAATCCAAGCCTTAGGAACTCCATTTCCAAAATTCACAAAAAAATCATCCTAATTCCAAAAAATTCACCGAAAAATACTACGAACTCTTTGTAGCATACATTTTCATTCTGTGATCTCAAATTCACAATTGGACCTCAAAAATTTCCATTTTCAAGTTTCACATGAAATTGAAAATTGAAAATAGTTACCAAACATCTTGTGTTCATTTTTCACTTTTCACTTATTAAAAAATAAAAAATGAAAACTAAAAACTAAAAACTGAAATGGTTATCAAATGGACTCGTAATGTGTGTGTCATACTCATATGCCATATGGGTCTATGCCAAATGATTAGTTCAAAAGATTCCCTATTTATAGATATGCCCCCTGTGCTTTCAAAATAGTCTCAGATTACAACATGTTCTTTGAAATGTCTCAGTATAACACCTATACTTTTAATAAGTGTTTCACGTTAGCTATTCCGTCAAATCTAAGAGAAGTTTTGTTAGCTGATGTGGTCCTCACTTCTTTTCAATCTCTTAACAAGGGAGATGAATGGTTAGTCAGGTTGAGAAAACAGGGAATTTGGGAGAAGGGTTTAGGGTTGAGGGACTTTCAGATTTGGGAATCTAGAGGTTCAAATTTGGGAGAATGTTTAAGATCAAATTTTCAGTCATTGTTTTCACTCCCCTTACTGAAATCCCCAAATCAAATTCCCCCCTTTCTCCCAAATCCCTCATTTTCTCCCAAATATGAACCTCCAAATTCCCAAATATGAAATTCCCTAAACCCTAAACCCTTCTCCTAAATTCCCCTTTTTCTCCCAAATTCCCCATTTTCTCAACCTGACTAACCCTTCCTCTCCCTTGTTAAGAGATTGAAAAGAAGTGGGGGCCACATCAACTAACGGAACTTCTCTCAAATCTGACGGAATAGCTAACATGAGACACTTATTGAAAGTATAGGTGGTAATTGAGACATTTCAAAGAACATGTGGTAATCTGAGACTATTTTAAAAGCATAGAGGGCATATCCATAAATAAACCATTAAATTATGCCAAATTATTATTTTGGTTTACAACTTGGGGCAAGTAATGTAGTCCATCTAGTTTTAATTTTTCACAAATTATATTACATTTGTATACTCTTGAATTTAAGGACAATTACATAATCTTGTGAAATTTTTAATGACATTAGGGCACATGCAGTGCAAAGTAGAGGATTATGCGAGTATCTTTACACTAAATGGGAGTTATTGGTCGTATCGGCTAACAAAATTGTCTGCCCTTTCATTTGCTAATTGTTGAGAAAATTGAGGAAATAAAGTCATTATCTTTGAATTTGATTATTTAAAACAACGATATTAATTATTATGCATCTAAGACAGACAATTGACATATTACCCATACAACAGGAATTTTCATGGTGCCATATTTTTCTTGTGCAAGTTTTTCAATTGGCCTCTCTTTCTGATCCTAAGAGAGTACCAAAAAATGAATGCACTCAATACGAAGTCCGGCAATGGATGTGTTACAAGGCACTGCACAGAATGGCCCCAGTAGGGCGAACATTGATGCTCATAACCAATCCATCGCATGCTTGCTTTGCTATACGTCTCTGGCGTTGGGACGAACAAGGGATATGCCTTGGTCCTGGACAACCTTGTCGACACGAACATAGGAATCTGCATTAATTAATTAATTATAAGCAACATCTACATAATTCATATGAAAAAAAGCAGCCATTTTAATTGATTTCAAAGAAGAAGAAAAAGAATGAGAACCTGGCACTGAATGTCAATTCCATGCTGCTTGTATTCCAAACTAATGCTTCTTGAGAACATTGAAAGGTACCTATATAATATCATAACTCATAAATTCATGATATATGCAGTTACACCTACCATTCAAACTTTGAATTTCAAGTGTCAAGATTTTTTCGGCTTTTGTTATGGGATTCTAATCTTTTGTATGGATTTTCTAATATATACAAGAATGAGATTTCAAACTTAAGACGTACGAAAGCGCACTGCTCTGGTTAACTATAACTTAATTTATGTCTAAATATTTCATGACTTTGGAAATGTACATCTGTGATGTGACGTGACGTGAATGTTCACCAACAAATTTTTGATAAAAGAGTTTTTAGGTGTTGACAAAAAACAAAAGAAGAAGACTTTTTTCGTTTTGAAAAACTTGTTGCGTATGGAAGTAAAAATGTAAAACCTTCAATCTCACACGGCTACAATACATAGAATGCAGTTAAGACATTCAAGATTCGACCACAAAATTACTGCAAATTATGAAACAAAATGAAAGGCTTAATCAAGAAATTAACTCACGCTTTGGAAGCAGCATAATTAGTGTAGAGAGGAAAAGAAGGGATGGCAGAGGAACCAGAGCCAGAGCCAATATTGACAATAGCTCCCTTCTTCTTCTTGAGCATACTTGGAAGCACTACCCAAGTAATCCACGTGGCAGCCTCCATGTTCACCTTAATGCTATCCATCAGCTCCAAATCATCAACCTCATGAAAAAATTTTCCATAAGAGTAAGCCACTCCTGCATTGTTAACCAAAACACCAACATCAAGCCCTTTTATTTCCTCCTCTATGGCTTTAGCTATCTCCTCCCCAGTGAGCTTGGCCAAGTCCATGACAATTTTCTTGATCTCAACTCGTGCACCAAATCTTTCATGTATTTCGTTGGCGGTAGCTTCGAGCTTTGAAACGTTTCGATCAAGCAGCACTAGGTTAAGACCCTTTGCAGCCATTTCAAAGGCAAGGGCTCTGCCAATTCCATCAGCTGCGCCAGTGATGAGAGCCCATGATCCATACTCCTTGAGATTCTTTGGGGGTCTCAGAAACATGACCCAAACCCATCTGAGAAAATTGATGGAGGTTTTGCAAAGAGAGATGAAGCCTATAGTGGTTGCTACCACTGTGAAAAGTTCTTGGAATTCCATTGATATATAATCTTATAGATATATTCAATCAGTTGTTTATATATAAAATTTGTAGACTAGGATGAGAAAGTAGAAGTAGGACACTGTAATTAAGTTTGATGGTGCGAGGAGAGCAAAAAGAAGAGTGGTTGGAGGTCGCAACACTAAATGGGAGGCAGAAAATTAATATCTATATACAACAACCTACACCAAAATAATTAAATATCAGCATGACCGGTCATGAAATTTTGAGAGCCCTGTGAGATGTAAAAATACAACAACTGAATGACATAATATGAATTCAAACCCGAATTGCCTACTAAAATCATGGCGTTAAATTCCAACACAACCAAATACACGTTTGTGTTATTGTCCTGCACGCTCGAGTATATATATATATTACCTATATAATATTAATATATATATAATATACATGTGAAAAAATTTCAGGGCCCTTAAAAATCGGAGCCCTGTGCGGTGGCACTACTTGCTCAGTCACCCAAAAAGAAAAGAAAAAAATCTCATGGTTTTAATTTTGTTCATATCTGAGTTCAACCTAAACTCTAGTTTATTTCCAACAAGATTGTAATTTCATCATCAACACCATGCCATAGATCAGTAGTCAGTAAGATGTGGTAACGCATTTAGTTCACTAGTTTATTAGAGTTGGTGTAGCTCACGGATATAACTCGGATGCCGACAGTTATGCCCATACTATTTCGTAAAGTTGTAGTCCATGTTTTAGCTCTCACACTTTTAGTGTCCATTTAGATGGATTAATTTCAAATTTAGGGTTTTAGATCACATTGTATGATTAACCTGTTTGTTTAGAATACTACAATCTATGTATGACAAGATTTGAATGAGAAGAAAATGAAGAAAACGTATAGATTCCAAATGACTCATTGCAAATACTCATTTCAAATCCATTCCAAACATTCTACATCAATCTACGTAGTTTTTCTAATTCTTTTTAACACATTTAGCCTTGTCCTATTTCTTTCAAATGTTTCCATTCAAATAAAGCTTTATTTCTCACTGGCTCACATTTCAAAATAAAAAGGTTCTTGTTGTAACGGGGTCTAGCCCAATGTAAATGACATTGACTTGCATAATAGTGGTCTCATGTTTAGACTTCCATAACACCTTGGTATGCGTATAAGAAACCCCCCTCCCCTTATAGTTTAAAGTTTAAACTATACACTTTTATTAAAGGCTTATTTGTGGAAATACTCCCATGTGGTTTCCAAGTTGTCTCAGTTTGCCTCCTAAAGTTTTAAATAACTCAATCTCCCCCTTGAACTTCCATTCCATTAGTTTTCAAATAAAAATGGTTAAATCCACTGATGTGGCATGAGTATTTTGGTAATTTTAACTTTTAAATATTGAAAATGCTTGAATTATTCAAAATCAAATATGTAAAATAATAAAATAACATAAAAATTTAAAGACAAAAAAGAATTAACACATCCTTAGAGCATCTACAGTTGGGGGGGGTGTATAAGAGGGTGTATGTTAAATATACACCCATTGTGATCGGAATCACCCGCAATGGGGGGGTGTATATGAATGTATAATTACATCACCACCTTGGAGATGTATATTTAGATGCAATTGTACATCTTTTTTTACATCTCTTGCAGGTGGGATCCAGCTGCAAAAAGGTGAGGGAAAATGGAGAAAAGTGGCTTTACACCCCCGAAAATACACCCACTCATTGGAGCAAAAAGCGTATTTACACCCCCCGAAGATGTAAAGGGGATGTAAAAGTGGCTTTACACTCCCGAAAATACACCCCCCACTGTGAATGCTCTTAAAGTTCTACGTCATCTTATTCCGCTCCATGTTTTTTTTTTTTTTTTGGTCGTATATAGTTTAAGAGTTTGATTTAGGAAATTTGATCTTTTTATCAGTTAGTTTAACTGTTAATTTAAAGGGATGAAAGTGAGCAGAAGAACGGCAAGTTTTAATTACTGAGGTTTTGTGAAGATTGTGAGGCCACGCTGCTGCTGAAAAGGGCATGGTTTGCATTTATTTCGGGCAACTTTGACGGAGTTCGATCCCGCTCACGTTGGGTAGATGAACACCATAAAGAGTATTGAATTGACAGCTAACTACTAGACTAAGACAGTTGCAGCTTTTGTTGTTGTCGTCTGGACAGGACAGAACCTGCTCTCTTCTCTTTTGGGAAAGGGCTTTTAATTTCTTCTTTCTTCTTCCGTCAAGTTAACGGGCTCTTTTCTAAAATTACAGTTAGGTGTTGGGGTTGTGTTATTTCCATTTTAATTTCAGTTAGGCGTTTGGTGAATAGTATTATTTAACAGCAAAAGTTGTTCCAACCCAACTGCTATAAATTTATCTCATTTATCATTTTGAGCTTTGATGTCAATTTTGCCTGTTAATTTTCTTATATTTAACATCTCCCTTATCCTGAAGAGATTTTTTTATTTAAATCCCGCACTTCTCTTTGTTCACCCCAATATTTAAATCATTACTTAAATCATTAAGCTGTAAGTTTTATTATTGTGTAAAAAGACAACAAAGTCACAAAACAATGTTGAGTTATGGGCCATGATAGTCCAGGGGCCCATCATTTGGCAGCAATATGCTCTTTACATTGCGATGTTGATTTTATAATGGTCGAAGCAATGCCAGTCCCAGTTCTTTCTTTATTATTATTTTAGAGATTTTCTATTTAAACCCCGCAGTTCTTTTTGTTCACTCTAATACTTAAATGATTAAGCTGTAAATTTTATTATTGTGTAAAAAGACAAAAAAGGTCATCCAACTTAATAATTAACCCTAGTACATCTATATACACAGCCCACACCCCACACCCCACACACTCCACCACTATTCATATCAAGTTTTAGAAAAATACAAACTCCTCTACATCCTATTTAAATTGGATCAGGACAGAGGTAAAGTATAAATTGGATCAGATCAGGACAAACTGCTCTACTTGGAGAGAGGTAAAGTTATTTTCTTTCTCTAGAAAGTATTAAATTTCGGGTTTGGAGTTCCATTTGTTTGTGTTTTTTTTCTGCTGGGAACAAAGAAAATTGTGGAGTTTAAATAGAAAACCTCTATTATTTCTTTTTCTTTTTCTTTTTCTTTTTCAGTTTGGGGTGTATTTAAGGGTAGTTTGGGAAGATAGTGGGGTTTTCTTAGAAATTGTGAAAATTTAAATTAAAAGATGGGGTGAACTTAGAATATGGGGTGAACTAAGAGAAGTGTGGGGTTTAAATAGAAAATCTCTATCCTGAAACTTGAACTTGGATAAAGTTCTCATGCTTTCTCTTCGTAACATCTCTGCTAGATGTGAAATGCAAAATGTTAAATTCAGATCGAAAATACCGTGAATAAAAAAAGACTTTAAAAGATAGTGAAGCCCATCTCTAAAAGTTTATGGGATGTTAGTTTTGAGACAATTCCCATGCCGCTTTAAATCCGTTTGAGATTTTGAATGGTTGAAATAGTTCACCTCTCTAATTCTTGTCATTTCAATAATATGTGAAAAAGTTCCTATGTAAGCAAGTGACGCTAATTAAGCCTGTCTGTGAATCAAACACATTTTGATTTTGATGTGGCGAGTAAAGGACAAAGTCATGGTTCTTGTTCTTGGTGAAATGGATCATCGACACCACGTACAGAACTCAACCTGGGAGTGGGAGAGTTCCAACTTGTCATCTGTTGTAGCTCATGAGATCTCATACTGGCTTCTTCTTTGAACTTCATGAAGTACGTGGATGACCAGTAATCGTTTGCCAAGTTCTTCAGCAAGAGGGTAAAAAATGAAAGAAAAAGAAGAGCTTAGAAATCAATCCAGTCAGTCAGTTAAAAAACAAATACAAGTTTGGGAACCAGAAAATTTTATCCTACCATTTTCATCAACTGTATCAGCTCATTCAATGCATCATTGAACAGATTTGGTTGTGCCAGATTGGAAGTAGTCAAAATCGCTTGCCTGCTTCGGTGAGAAATGTTCACCTCCATTGTTGCACCTGTATCATGAAAATTGAAAGACATGCCCAACACACTTACAAGACTAAACTCCTAGCTAGAGTGAGGCTAAGGTTGAAGGTAATGCATTATGCATATCCTTAAGCAACACACTTAAAATATAGGTTCTTATTGACGAAACCACAAACCTGCAGTTATGTACTTGTCGATGATATGTCGTGCCATGTAAATCCTTCTTACAGGGTCATCCACCGGTATCTTGCCAAGTTCATGCACTTCCTCATAAAAATGCACACTCTCCCCTGCCAAACAACTGTGATTAAGAAGAAAAAATAGACTAAAATAAATACATTGTGTGGCACACAATCAATTATGTTATTTCTTATCTCAATTGTCCCTACAGAAAAATAGATCCCACTGGAAGTTTGTGATAAATTAATAAACGATCTTTGAAGGTTCCATTTGTCTGGATAAAAATCATTTTCAGTTAGCTTCTGGAGAAAGTCTTCTGTACACAAGGGTAGTTTCTGCATAAAAGTTATCCTCGCAAATGTATTTGCAAAATATGAAACTCAGGGAAGAACAGAATACCTGTCTGCAAAGGACATGAAGGACTGACGGAATCTTTTGTTCATAAGCAGTTTATCAAGTGGCTCATTAGGGTCTATCACTGGTGCTGGTTCCCTTGGTAATAGTAGTCCACTGTTAGGTATACCCAGAGCCTGACCCATTGTCTCAAATGCTAGGGGTTCCCTTTTCCTCAAGCTGATTTGCGATAGAAGAGGTTGTGAACTTGATATCGAAAAGAAAGATAATACAAGAATGCTTGCCTGTAATATATACCTTATAAATGTTAGCAAAACACACAAGTTGGAAGACTTCTATACCAGTTCAAAATATGCAATAGTACTACCAGAGGATAAATCATACCGTAACTAAGAGCGCAAATCTAGAGACAACTTGAAGCCATGAGATATCATCATGAATTTCATTCAAAATGTAAGCAGCAACCCATACTCCTGGAAGCAATAAGGAGAACCAATTAAAAGCAGGGTCAACAAGCTGTAGACCACAGTGGTGTAGAACCAATTACAGCCCCGTGATTGGAAAAATCAAAGTATATCATTTCTGAGTAAACCAAAAGAAGATCACAGTGGTGTACCAATAGAAGAGGCTGAGATAAGTATTCCCTGCCAGAGGTCTCTAAGTTCGTCAAACCTGAACTCTATGTGCTGAATAGCCCCCGTGAACCCAACCAAAATGGCAACATAGATTGCATGGAGGGACACAACTGGGACGATCCACTGAGTCCCCATGTGGCATCGATCATTTAGAGGCTTCTTGATATGCATAACTATAAAACATACAAGAGACATTGTGTAACAGGCAATTGGAGTGGATATCCAAAGTATAAATTATTTCAGAGAGTCTTACGTGCAGCACCAGCAATCCATGGCAAGAGAATTAGTGGAAGGAAAATATACGATCTGATTGGTGGTAGACACCTCCTGAAAGATTGATTGCACATAAGTGGAGCACATAGGTTATCCACAATAGTCCAATACAAATGCAACCTAAATATCTTTCTGAATTGGTTTTAGTTCATATAGAGAATGTCCAGCAGCTTAAAAGTCTGATTGAATACTTGATGAGTTGCAGCCCAATTGTAATATTGAGATTTACAATCTAATTTTAAATTCTCAACTATGTAAAACGTTTGCTTACTTGACAAAAATGTAATACAGCTGGAAGGCCTGTGATATGCGACAGCTCAGTAATAAACCAAAGCCAAGTGGAGCTTCAATCCAGACTGAAAGCAAAAGATACTTTAAATAGTACACAAAACTACAAGTACTCGCAAATAAGAAACTGTATGAGTAACTTTAAATGTACGAGTCATGATAAAGGCAGTGAACAACCTGCCCACGCATAGCAAGACTGCCACCAATGTCTCTTTTCGAATTTCAGAAAATTGACAGACATCTGCATAAAACATGCTGTGCTTTTAATGTTAACCATAGAGCCCCATAACACAACTTATAGTGGTATAAGTTATCAAGAACATTATTGATGGACTATTGAACATATAAATCTATGATCTACCACAATTGACAACAGAAGGTTGAAGCTGGCGAAAATTTGAATAGCTGGAATCCAAAAGCTACTGCGTTTCGGTATAGGAATCTTGTGAATGGCAAAGGGCAAGATTAACCGCGAAAGAAGCCTGAAAGAAACAAAGCGACCAATAGAAAAGGATCAGAGTTAGTCTATTGAGAGAGGTTTTTCAGCGGAAAAGGATAATAATCAGAGAATAACTCAGACCACATGAGAAAACAAATCAGCAGTAACGAGTACCTCAGTCTTAATTTGTTTGACATGGTTTTCCACATCAGAATAGTACAACTTAGGACGATATTCTAATACCTTTGAACATCATGTGGGAACAATGAGATCAAAGAACTTTGCTTATCAAACTTTGAGAATCAAATTATAGTTCTTTCCAGACTTATTTATTCAGAGAAAGCTAAAGGATACAAGCACTGTGTGATTGCCCACAAATTTGGATACTCTACCAGTAAATTTCACATGGAAATTTTAAACTGAAATTCTCTCAGAGACATAAACTCAAACAGACATCCAGCAAGCAACATGTTATAAGATTTCATCAAAACAAATTTCCCATCATTAAAACCATCAGAACCCCAGAAGCCCAAAGCAAACTCATTTGCAAACAACCAAGAAAACCCATGAAACTGTGATGATTTAATCAGATGGAGACCCACTAGAACAAGAAAAAAAAAAACTTACAAAATGAAACAGACGGCTGATATAGCGATGGCTATGTAGTCGCTGGCACAGCCACCATCCACTGCACAGCTTGCCATTTTCTTTGCATTTGGGGAAATTTTGGGTTCACCCAGTACGTTTTAAGATCTGAAATTAGAAGAATTTAGGACGCCCGCCATCCCAAGGCATCAACTTCAAGGTGTGTCCTTTTCTGGGTCCAGAGGGGAGTTCAATCGAGAATGGCAGAATGGGATTCCCACATAATGTTTGACCAGAAGGGAACACAAGGGGAACAACCGCGGTCTTTTGTTGACAAAATCGAAGACTTAAAAAGGGTGGAAGTGTACACGTGGCTTGTTAGAAATCCATCGGATCACTGTCTTAAAAGACACACAGAACAGAACAGACTGATACTAGTTTTTATTTCTTTTTCATTTTTCTCTGGTTATAGAAATCGTTGAATGGGGGTCTTGAGTGAAATTAATCGTGTGTTAATCAAACCATAGCTGCTACTGCTTCCAAGTAAGTGCAAATTAAGTTTAGATGAACCAATTTGAGGCCATACTGGCTATTTCAGATCATTCAGCCACACCCAATTGAAGTTGCATCAAGAAGAGATTGGGCAACCAAAAAAGAAAGAATAGAATTTTATTACTCAGTCTTCAATGTACATCATTCCCCTTGAAGGAAAAAACCAAGGAGCCAAACAATCAAAATTTAAAGGAAATAAATGGGGAAGGAGAAAAACAAGAACATCTCTCTCTCTTTCTTGTCTTAACCACAGCAAAGCCATTTGCTCTGCATCCAAAATGTAAATTACAGTTGAGATTCAATTCAATAGGTTAATTAGACCAACACCTTGTTTACTAAAAACCTGTAATTAGGCATGCATACCTTTTTGGGGTACTTATATTTGTCCTTCTTTATACGGGCATCATATTTGTCTGGTGCTGCCAGAATCAATGGAGTTCCAGCGCCAGACCTTCTGTCATCTCTGGCCTTGTTGAATATGACAGTAAATCCTTCAGCTGAGGCAGGGTCGTTGACATCCCAGTCGCCAAATTTTGGTAGAGGGCCGCCTAGAGGCATGGCCTTCTCATACTATGAATAAATAAACCAAACAAACTACCATTAACCATTGAGCCATTCATTTACCATATATATAGCAGCACAAGCAGCAGCAATGTCATTCCTGTCATGTGATAACAATTTCCTATACCACCAAAGCAATAATCTTTTTGCGATTTGCAAAATTATGCAGCAAATGTAATAATTATCAGCAAATTACATGATAGAACAAGTTGTGGTTGGTTGGCACATAAAAGTTAAGCCAAACAAAGCAAGGGAAAGTTTGCAACAGGGAGAGAGAAAAAAGAGAGAAGAAAAGCAGAGCACCATTAATTAAAAACATTGAAAATGAAAAAAGGATCAATTTTTATCAAATGCAATTGACCCAACAGAGAATATTAGGAAAAAAAGAAGAAGAAAAGAAGATAAAAAACAGAACTTACAGAAGCCATGATTGGTTAATCTGGATAGAGATTACAATTGACAGAGATGGCAGAGAGAATCTGGGTAAGGAGAAAAAGATAAGTGAGAGATAAAGAGAGAGAATCTCCTCTCCTGGCTTCCTTTATAAAGGCATAATAAATAAACAATGGAAGAGAACAAGGTCGAAAGATTCGGAATTTCCGAGACTGGCTCTCTCTAGTAGGTGCACTCGTCTCGGACGCGGGAACAAACCTTGCCGTTTGAAAAAGCGGGTTCTTGGTCAACGCGGCGTCTTTGTTTCCTCATTTGATAGTTTCTAAGGTTGGTGGTGGTGTGTAACGTGTTGGTAAAACCGTGCATAAGCGCAGTGGCTTCGGAGCTTCCAAAGTTGTATTGTAACGGGATGGATGAGATTTCAAAATGAGGTGGGCTAAATTTACCTTACGTACAAACTTATTAAAAGGATAAATTACTCGACGGTAAGAGTGAATTTCATTGATAACAAAAAATACACAAAAGAACATAATGAGCTCCTCAAAATGCATCTAGTACAACCTTAAATAAAAACAACATTAAACTAAAAGAAAAAAGCCGTTAGTTTTTTTTTTAATACAAGTGATAGTCTAAAGGGGGAGGAGGTTTCTCACACATATACTAACAAATAATATATTTAGAGTGCTGCTATTTCCACTAACCTGTCTTATTTTCCCACCCCCCATGTAAATTTGAATAAACACAATCCTATCTTTCCACCCACCATTATTCTTAAAATACCCTTTAATTATTAATTCAAGTAAATTCTCTTTTTTGTTAACTTGTGAGTCATTTAAATTTAATCTAATGGCTGAAAAGAGCAATTATTTGCTCTAATTGGAGAGATTTGACGACCAAAACAAAACTAATAGAACATATTTTCAACATGAGCATCTGATTACATTGGGATTTGCTCTGTGGAAGGAGAAGACTTTTGCCATGTCGATCATTGGGATTTGCTAGCCTCCTCCTACAAATGGGAAGAGTACATGAAGATTGGACTTTCTGATGAAGAATCCATCGTTTTGGCTCAAAACTTTTGGGGTTAGGGTTTTAGGATGGAGATAAAACAGGAGGGAGAGGTTGAGGGGTGCTTTGGATTTGACGTTTGATCTTTGTCCTTCGGATTTTTTTAATTTTTTTTAATTTTAAGTTTGAGGCAATTGTTTTGTTTTTTTTAAATCATTTTTCATAAGTCCTTAAAAGTCATTTTATAATGATGTTGAGAGATTAATAAACAAAAAATACAAGCAATTAATAAATAATTTTGTGAGTAAAAGATGAGTGGTGAATGATTTTGGTGGTGTGAAAATTTTGAAGAAATAGGTGGGTTTTATAGGGAAAATTGAATAGTACAAAAACTTTAGAAAAAGAAAGAAAATTGAAGTTGATATTAATTTTCAAAAAATTGCCATTGATATTAATTGCACTAACATGATCGAATCATGCTTGAGTAGTTGGAGCAGCTTTAATGAGTGTGAGTATTACTTTTTAAAAATCAACTATTGGATGAGCAAAGGTTGGTTCAGTGCATGAGCGATGATGAGCAGAATACATATAGCAACACTTGGTGGAAACGGGTGGGATTTTGCTAACATCACAGTCGCAGCAAAGGATCATCACCATCTGGACACCCCTTGTTTGTGCAAGCTACATGCATGCATATCATCCATATAATTAATATTTGTTAGAGAAAATAAAATGCAGCTAAAATTATAAATAAATAAAAAACTTCAAACCAAGAAGAGCTAGGGTTGGGAAAATCATAGAGTATGTAAGAAACACAACAATATCAGAAGCCGAAGACACAAATTTGTTGCTGGTTGCTTCCATTCCACCAATTTGATTTGGCCCATTTGATTGGCAAAGCGAAGGATCGAAACCAACACAAAGAAAATTGCAAATGACTTGTTCATCTTGTTCTTGATTGATCCTCTTTTGCGTAACTAGTTTTCACACGAACGATGAACTTTACAAGTATGCTTACTTATTTTGCTTTGCATTTCTCTCTATTTATAGCTATAAATTTTTTAGTTTTTTCACCTGAAACTAATTTTTATTCTTACCTTTTTTTTAAATAAAAATTTTAAAAAAAAATCTTATCCTCTTTTGCTTTCCTATTAAAAGGGGCACGCGTTACATGGATACTAGGATTCAAACCCAAGACCTTACCTGTGGGAACAATTACTTCAAACCACTACACTAGTGAGTCATGTACCAATCAAAACTTAATACAACCTATGAAGCTAGCACGTCAAAATTAGGAATTTGAAGAAATTCCAAGCAAATGGTGTTTCAGTTTTGCATAGATTTAGGGGTTTGTTAGGTCAATTTTCCCTTCTTTTTATTTATTTATTTATAAATATGGGTGAATTTTTTCCTTCTTTTTTTGTTCGAAAAAATGATTTATTAAAAATAATAGGGTTAATTACAGTTTAGTACCCTGTGGTTACACCCTTAAAGCATGTTAGTCCCTGTCTTTTCAATTTTTACAATTGCATAGCCCGAGCTTGTAAATTTTTTACAATTTGATTCCACCGTTAGGGTTTCCATCAGTTGTGTTAGTTGCTAATGTGGCACTTATGGGGCCCACTTTTTCGGTAATTTTAAAGTCCTTCCAAGGGCATTTTCGCACTTTTATTTTTTTCTCTCCCGCCCTTACGCCCTCTAACGCTTAAACCAAAAAATTAAACACCAGATAACCAAAAAATCTTCCACTTGATTTCTTTCATTCGCCGAAGAGGACGACGACACAGAATCGACTGAAAGAAGGCTATGATGAGTTGGGATCCACGACCACCTGGAAAGGACGACCCAGTTTATGGTATGTGGGGATTGAGGTTTTATTTGATTTTTTTTTTTCTAGATAAAGGTTTCGAAGTTCACATATTTGGATATTAGGGTTTTAATATTGATTTATTTGGGGGTTAGGATTCTGAGTTCGATTTTTTGGCGAAATGGTTTCAAAGTTCGCATATTTGTGGAACAAGGTTTTAATATGAGGGTTTTTTCGGGTTAGGCTTCTGAGTTCAAAGTTTTGGGGATAAGGGTTTCCCAATTCGCATATTTGGGATTTTCTGGTTGTTGTCAGTGGCATTTATGTAAGTAAAGTTGGTATGTGGTCCTACTGTAACCCATGTGGATGTTTCGCTTTTGGTCTGGAAAGTGACTTTACTGTATTGAATAATTCAAAACCTGGTGGTATAGTAAAGTGCATTCTAAAAGTGTTTGCTTGGATTTTTCTTAGTGGTAATTGTTTAGTTGGTGGTTTCTGTGTATGTCTATAAATCCATGCAATGTGTAACTGTACCCTAATGTTGGATCATCTATGTATGCAGACGATGATTGCTTATTTATCATTTGAATGCACCATGGTGGAAGACTGATATACAAGTATTATTTGGATGAAACTGTTACATACTTTGATTATGTGGATAAAGACAAGATGTCTTTAACTGAAATATACTGCTTGGCTGTGTATTTGGGCCACATAGGTAGGATTGATTACTGGTATAGGGTTGAATATGAGGGTAATTTGAAGAAGGTGGAGTTTGACTCAGAAGTTATTGAAATGTGTGAAAATGTGTCTAAGGTTAGGATGATTAACATGTACATGGATCATCGGGACAACCTCGATGATGTTCTGAATAGCCAGACTAATTTTAACATGTATCGTCGTTATTCTTCACAAGTATATGATTATGCTGATGATGTGAGAACTCCAAGTGTTATCCTTCAAGAGCTACCAGAGTTTGATAAAGCCATTATATTACATGATGGGTTGGATAAAGCTACTTCCAATGAGGTACACAGGACAAGGAAACCGACTCCATCAATTAATTCAGCTAGTGCCAAAGGCAAAGAAAAGGTGGCAGAAGTTGATGAAGGGTGTGTACAACATGAGCCAAAGAAAGGTACTTCCAAAGGCAAAGAGAAGGTGACAAAAGTAGATGAAGGTTGTGTACAACATGAGACAAACAAAGCTACTTCCAAAGGCAAAGAAAAGGTGGCAGAAGTAGATGAAGGGTGTGTACAACATGAGACCACCAAAGCTACTTCCAAAGGCAAAGAAAAGGTGGCAGAAGTTGATGAAGGGTTTGTAGATGCTGAGATCAATGAAGTAAGAAGATCTGTTAGGAAGAGGAACCCCTCAATTCAACAAGAAGCTGATGACGATTCTTCAGAAAATGATGATGAAAGTGACCCTGACTTTGTGGATAATGAATACGGTATTGATGATGATGATGATGATGAAGTCTTCTTACATGAGGTTGACATAGATGGTGAATGGGGTGGAGCAAATACTGACCAATCAGTACCAAAGCCTTCAGATGTGGGAGACTTTGTGGATAATGAAGACATGTTTGTAGTTAGTGAAGAGGATGAGCAGCACCTTAGGAAAGCACCACAATCAGATGAGGAGAGCACGGGTCATAGATTCCCAGAGTTTAATACTTCTTGTGACATGGGAACTGTCGAGTTTGAAGTTGGCATGCAATTTGCAGATAGTTCTAGCTTCAGAAATGCTCTGAAGGCCATTTCAATAAAAGAAGGATGAGAAATATGTTGGATGAAGTCTGAGAAGTATAGGATTAGGGCAATTTGTGCAGCTAAGAGCAGTCATTTTGAGATTTATGTATCCAAGATGCAACACGAAGACACACTACAAATTAAGAGACTAGATCCCAAACACACATGTAGCAAGGTATGGGAAAACAAAGGGATAAGATCTTCCTGGTTGGCTCAAACATTTTTAGAGGAGGTGAAGACAAACCCCATTATACCAGTGGTGTCCTTAAAGGCAACAATGCAAAGGAATATTAAAAGTGGAATATTATTGTCCAAGTTTAGGAAGGCAAAGAACAAAGTTTTGAAAATCCTAGAAGATACCATTACTGCACAATATGCTAGACTGTGGGACTATGTTGTATAATTGAGGAACACAAATCCTGGAACAACAGTGCAAATCAAATGTGATTTCAATGCATTGTTACAGAGGCCTGTGTTCCAAAGAATGTACATTTGCTTGGGTGCTTGTAAGGAGGGATTCAAGGCTGGATCCAGACCTGTAATAGGACTATATGGGTGCCATTTGAAGAGTCCTTATGGAGGCCAGTTGATGTCTGCTGTTGGTCTAGAT